CAGCAGCAACAACAAAAACCTTCTTATCTGTTCCTACTAGAGATAAACCAAATTAGAACGGAAGCCAAACCAGAAAATGTTTACACCAAATATTAAGCTGCAATTTGTTCTTACTCTTCTGGTGTTTGGAGAATCATGCTTTAGACATCTTTAGACATCCTTAAAGCAATGTTGAATTTAAGAGTTCTTCATATGTTCTAGATATTAGTTCTTTGTTGAATATGTGGTTTGCAGATATTTTCTCCAGTCTGTGATTTGTCTTTTCATCCTTTTAACAGAGCCTTTCCCAGAGCAAACATTTAAAGATTTGATGAAACCCAGTTTGTCAATGTTTCCTTTTATGGACTTTGTTTTAGGTGTCAAGCTAGGAACCTAGCTCTATATCATAAAGATTTTCTTCTAGATTTTTTCATAAAACTTTATAGTTGATATTTTACATGTAAATCCATGATCCATTTTGATATAATTTTTCTATAAGTTATGAAATTTAGGTGGAGGTTCATTTTTTTACTTTCGGATATCCAGTTATACCAGCATCATTTGTTTCCATGGCATATTTGTCTATTTTTGGCTCATCTATTCTGTTCTGTTGATCTGTATGTCAGTTCCTCCATCAGTTGTCACACAGTTTAGATTACTGTAGCTGTATAATAAGGCTTAAAATGAGGTGGACTGATTTTTCCCACTTTATTCTTCTTTTTCAAAATTATTTTAGTTATTCTTATCCCTTTGCCTTTTCATGTATTTTAGAATAATCTTGCCTATATCTACATAAAAATCTTACTAGGATTTTGCTAGGAATTGCATTAAGCCCATATATTAATTTGGGGAGACTTGACACCCTTACTATCTTGAGTCTTCCAATCCATGAATGTGGGTGTATTGTTGAGCTCTTCTGTGTACTTGTTGACTTTCTGCCAAGTTTTTCTGAAGTCTCCAAAGTCTCCAGCTCTGAATTGTGGATTTTTTTTTTAATGGAGGTACTGAGGATTGAACCCAGGACCTTGTGTCTGCTAAGCACGTGCTCTACCACTGAGCTACACCCTCCCCACTAGTTCTAACAGCTTTTGCTTCACATATTTTGCAGCTCTGTTGTTTGGTTCACACACATCTAGGATTGCTCTATCTTCTTGGAGTGACCCCTTTATCATTATATATTGTCCCTCTGTGTCTCTGGGGTTTTTTTGTTTTTTTTGTTTGTTTGTTTGTTTGTTTGCTTGCTCTGAAGTCTACTTCATTTAATATTAATGTAGTCACTCTGGCTTTCCTTATATGGATGTTTGCATAATATAATATTTTCCATTCTTTTACTTTCTATCAGCCTATATTATTTGAAGTGAGTTTCTTTTAGATAGCATATAACTGGGCCCTGTTTTTAAATCCACTCCGCCAACCTCTGTCTTTTAATTGATGTATTAAAACCCTATATTTGACACAACATTGTAAAATGATTATAAATTAAATAAAAGTGTTAAAAAAAAAACCCTTTATATTTTATGTTATTAGTGATACGTTAGGGCTTGTGCCTGCCATTTTATTTTTTGTTTTCTATCATCTCTGTTTTTTCGGTTGTATTTTTCCTGCCTTCCAGTGGGCTACTTGAACTTTTTTTAGATTTCCATTTTTATTTATCTTATTGGGTGTTTTGTTTTGTTTTTTAATTATAGTGTTTTTGAGTATATCTCTTTGTATAGTTTTTTAATGGTTGCTCTAGGTATTATACACATACACATAAACACACATATAACATCACAACCTACTGATGTCATTTTAACAAGTTTTCTGTCTTGCTAGTCTGAGCCTCTTTCCTGATCCTTTGGCTAGAGAGAACAGGCCTTCGTGGGTCTCTCTTTGTTTGCATCCATTGACATTTCCAGGTTACTGGCTTCTTGAGCTCCAAGTATAGGATATATGAGGCAAAAGGAAAATCCAGGGAACCCTCCAGCATGTCATTCCTCATGTCCCAAGGTCCCTAGCCAGTCTGCCTTTTTATCTCTACTTTTCAAAGTCTTATGTTTATATATAATGTCTGGGTTTTTTACTTACACATAGTGGGGGTGAGAAGGAAAAGTACATCTACTGTATCTTCCCAGAAGTGGAAATTTCTCCCAGTTTTTTCTTTTGAAGTACCGAAGTTTATTTATTTATTTTAATTTTAAACCTGGCAGTTTCCCAGTTTTATTTTTGATCTAAAATAGAATTAAGGTGAATTTTCTTTTTCTTTACTTTTCTGAGTATATCTTTAACTCTGACTGAGGCCCGTGGATCCAGCCTTGAAATTTACCCCAGAGGGAGTGGGTGCATAGCTAGACTGTCACAGAGTTTCAGGCAAGTGCCTTTATTCCGTACACTCATCTTTCTTTTCTGTGTCTTTCCTTGAGTCTCCTTTGTTCGCATCATTTTTGGAGAGCTGCTACTAGTAGAGACCTCTCAGCCACAAGATGGTGCCCCAGAGTAGTTCAAGCCAAGCGTTTTCTGCCTTTCGTTGGGCCCCTATCTGTAACTTAGTGTTAGTAAACTCAAGGCCATTTAGCTAAACCAAGGTATAGATGTGAAGAACCAATTGTGTTTTTCTTTCAGCCATGTCTTCCCCCAATGCATGGAAACTTAAGTAATTAGTATCAAAAATTCTTTTTGTTTGATTTTTTTTGTATCTTTACAATAACTTTGTGGGAATTTATATATATATAAGTTTTTTTAAAGTTACTATCATTAATCTAAATGAATCCAGTTGCCATTTTGTATCTGGGCTCATTGAAAATAATCTGTGATCTCAGCGTGGCTTAAAGAAAGGGAATGTTAGTGCATTCTGAAGGCGATGCACTCTCAATGTCTTTTGAGGTGTTTGAATCCGTGAACCAAACTTTCTTTGTGAAAATGTTTGCTTTTGATTAGTAACCTAACTTTTAAAGCAGTAGCTTATATAAAAATGCGTAGAATAGAGCTGGCCTGGTTAGGAGAAGGAGGAAAAGTGGGATCCTCCAAGAAGTAGATTCTCAGGCATCTGTCTGTGCCACTGCCAGAAAATTAATTTATGGTTACCAAAGGGGAAGGTGGGGGTGGGGGGATAAATTAGAAGTATGGGATTAACAGATACAAAGTACTATACATAAATTAGATAACCAACAAAGATTTACTGTATAGCACAGGGAATTATATTTTATATCTTGTAATAAGCTATAATGGAAAATAATCTGTAAAAATATGTATATATGTAACTGAATCACTTTGCTGTATACCTGAAACTAATACAATATTGTAAATCAGCTATAGTTCAATTTTTTTTAATGCGTAGAATAAAAAGACTGGCAAATACATGTTAACAATCTTTGGATAATGAGGTATAAGTGGTTTCTTCTTTCATCTTCTGCTCTATGTTTTTCAAGTTTTCAATAATGAGCTACTTCTATATAGATTAAAAATAGAGGTAGGCATATTCTTCAGCTAATCAGAAAGTGTTTATTAACCATCCAATATACATAGAGCCAGCATAGACATTTTCCTGGGCTTGATAGTTGGGTAAAAAATTGTTAGGCACTCCCTCAGTAAAAGTAGGGGCCATGTCTTTCTAAATTTTGTAGACTGTGATATGTAGCATGTGCCTTACACATAGAGCGGCCTGGGAAGTAACTGTCAAATGAGCACAGAAGTCATCATTCCTCGCTTTGAAGGAAAACAGCTTTGGGTTTAGTCTTCACACTGGTCTTGGTGTACTTGTCTGCCTGAGTATCAGCTCGCATTTGATGGCCAAGTTGTGTCCATTCTGCCCCTCAATTCTAAAACTAAGAATTAGCAATAGTGAAACCAATACTGTTTTAAAGTAATTTAGTAATGGAGTGGGATGGACAGTATATATATGAATCCAAAGCATTAAACAGTAATTTAAAAATTCAGCCCTTGCTAGTTGATTATTGGGCTGCCGGGAGTACATGTGTATTAGACATAACAGGTACCCAAGCAATACTTGACAACTGACCAAATAAGTGAATGAAATGTTATTGATTAAAGAATTTTAAATAATATCCTGAAAGTCTGGATAGGAAGAAATTATGAGTAAGGGGAAGCTAGACTAAAATCAGTGCTTTTTCTAACCAAGACCCGGGAAAATTAAGGAGTTCTTCAATGGCTTTCAACTTGTGGTTTTTGTAGATCCAGTTCTTGTAAATTAAAAAACTTTCATATTTCTGATACCCTATTATATAATGTAAGTTATAATTTTTCATTAGCTTTTACATATTATACTTGGTAATATCCTTTTGTAGCTTATTTTAATAGATTGTACATGAAAATAATCTGTGGACTTTTCCTTATGAAAGATTGAATGTAGGCAAGCTCACCAAAGTACTAGATATACCAAAAATCCAAGGCTAAACTTTTGAGAGGAGTTCACGTGCACACAAGCCATGTGGGAAGTGGAGAGAATGGAGGGCAAATTCACTGAGTGGAAAATCAGCTAGAGGGTGGAAATTGACAGACCTTTGGGAGGAAAAAGGGATTTCAGTGAAAGGTAGCAGCCTCAGCAGAATCATGACATGGAAAAGTCGAATGAAAAGTCACTATCTATCTATTCCAGCTGTTTACAAACTTACAAAAAAAAAAAAAAGGTAGACGCCTTTATTCAAATAAAAACCTATGCAGAATACCAATATATAAATATATAAAAGCTGAGCCGTTTGGATTGAAACAGGGTTGGGAGTGTATAGGAGCCAAACCTCATCCTCCTTAGCCCCCTCTGCCTCTATCCCAGTGGGCTCATCCAGTCCATGCTTAGAACCTACACACACACCAGTATCCAGTGCAGCCTGACCAGTGGCCAGGTGTCAGGCATTAATTTGTAACAAGGGAGCTTTTTCCTCAGTTTTATTTACAAAGATGGACAATTATTTTAAGGAATGTTTTCTCATCTCTTACCAGAAGAATGTTTCACTACTGGAAGAATCACTCCCCTTATTTGAGATTCTTCCCTTGACCCTCTTGGGGTCTGACTTTGTGTTTTTTAGCTCTTGGATGTGGTTTCTCAACTAGCCAAGCGGAATCTTCACGTGCTGGTCCTGGGCCGGAAGCACATGCTGACGCAGAATTCCCGGTGGAGAAAGGATGACATGGAAAAGGTGCAGAAGCATGCCAGCTGTTTTTTCGCTGACAACATGTAGGTACTCAAGGTATTAAGTGAATTACACTAGGCTCCAGTCATCTGCTTGTTAGTTACCTTTTTTTTTTTTGCCATTTTTAAAGTGCATGTGTATATACCTATATATGTATAATCAGCCTCATTCAAAAGAAAAAAAGATTTGAGGCAGCTTACAAAAGTATGAGTTTTTACAGCAGGATAAACTTAAATATAGGAGGAAATCAGGATAAATGAGAAACGGGATAAAGTCCAAAATGAGATTGGCACACAGAATGCTTGCCATAAATTCCTAACTAGATCAGCACCTTCTATGTTTTTGGAGAAACCACAGTGAACATGACCAAGTCCCTGCCCTCTTGGGACTTAACAATAAACAGGAAATGAAATTCCAGGCAGGGATCAATGCTGTGAAGACAGTGAAGCGGAGTAAGGAGCTAGAAAGGTGGGGGTGGGTCCGAGGGTAGTGGATGGAGAGTCAGGAAGGGCCTTTGGGAGGAAGCAGGTCTGAAGGGAAGGAGTGAGTCTTTTGAGAAGGGGAGAGGGGTGGTGGGAAGAACCTACCAGGCAGAGGAAACAGCAGGTGTTCAAAAGGCCCAGAGGCAGAAATGAGGAAGGCAGGCAGGCAGTGTAGGTGGGTAAGTTCTGAGGTCCGAGAGAAGGCAGGGACCATGTTACATAGGACCTAATGGGTTCTGGTGGATTCTGGTAGGCAAGAGAGGGGCCTGAACTTTATTCTAAATATAAGGGGAATGTTGCTGTGAGCTACAGCTTCTCAGAAGCCAAAGGAACATGGGAAATACACAGCGACAAAATACACAGTGTCCACGGAGCATGAAGAAAGCTCATCAGGAAGAGCACAGACCCTCAGCGGTGACTTGCAGCCTGCGTGCAGGCTTTTATGCTGTTTATGCTGACAAAGGTGTATTTCCGACTTCGCGCAGATAATGAGAGTGCCTCACCCCCAAGTCCAGGTTTCCTTAGGTTGAATGTGATAACTTCAGGATTTATCAGTGTTCCCCAAATCATTTCATCTTAAAAAGCTAAGATGGCACTTGATGCATACAGCTGGCAGCTAACCCCTCATTCAGATCCCCAACCAAATCCCAATTTTCTTTATCTAAGTCCTTTCATTTGTTCATGGTAGGGGGTGCTTCCATCTCTCCAAGAGTCTAAGACAGTAATAGCGCTCTTCACACGGTCACCGTAGGCAACGCTGAGTAAACATTAGGAGCGCAGACTTGGGAATTAGTCTACCCAGGTTCAGACCGAGGCCTGCCACTTCCTGTCTGCGAAGGTGTTTCCCTTCTCTGTGTCTTCTTTTCTTCGTATGTTACCCACATGGGGATGTTGTGAAGATTAAATGAAAAAACATCTGTAAATAATATATGTAAAACTCTTGGCACAGCACCAAGTATGCAGAAAGCACATATATTTGTTGCTGTCACCATCATTATTACTTTTCTTAGGTGGAAGAGCTAGATAAATGCAGTGTTATAATCAAGAAGCCTGTGGGAAATTAATCTCATGCTTGGTTTGGGGCCTGTATTTATTGCCTACACTGAAGTTCCAAACCCAGTTGTAAAGATTGATTCAGGGACCCTCTATGGCTTTGGATTTAAATATTAAAATTTATAACATTAACTCCGTTTTCCACCAATGTGCCAAAGAAGCTTATTCAGACGTACACTGGAGGGAACAGTAGAGTAAATCCTCACATAGCTATCGCCCAGCTCCAACAGTTACCATCGTTTGCTAATCTTGTACCATGTAATCCCCCACATTTTTTCTTTTTTCTTTTCTGCTCTTTTTTTCCCCTGGAGATTTTTAAGATATACTCCAATCATTTTATCATTTCACTTGAAATATGTCAGTTCAAGGTAAACCTGAAACGATCCTACTTTGGGTCATTTGGATTAAGGCATAGGCATATCATGTTATCAGCCAAATCCCCTGAACCAAGGCACCTACTGCTGTTTTCACAGCACGTGTTTCCACATGGGGAGTGCTCAGGTTCAGGGTCCACTGGAGACTCTGAGCTCTTGGCTCTTCTCAAGCTGGAGATGCCTTCAGGTGCTGATCAGGGTGACTCCCCGGAAGCCGCTTGGAGATGCCACTTTCAGCTTTGAGGTCCACCCATTACTTTTGCAAGAAAGTGTCATCCTGCCCTGTTACTATTATGAATGTACCTTGAATTCGAGTAAGGAAAATGGAGGGGAAAGGTGTACTCTGTGGCAGATGGGGCAAGTAGGAAAAATGCCCTGGGAACACAGAGAACCATCTTTTGAGTGTGAAGAGAGAATTCGTGTTAGAATTCTTCATTCTTGTGGAAGAACCCAGCTGAGCTGCTAAGAATCTCAAGCATTAGCATTCCTTTCCCCTTAGCTTCCCGTCAGTGTTGTAGATAGTGTGATCCACCAGCTCAGGACTCGCAGGTGGTTCGTAAGTATCACTGAGATCTTGTCAGTTCAGAGCACAGAGCATTTGTGAGTAAAGGAGAGGAGGAAGTAAACTGTATGGTGAAGAGTGCTGTCCTCTGCCTCCCTGGGTGTGTGCTTGACTCTGTCATTTCTTCTGCCTGGCTCAGCTCAGAGGACGATCCGTACCTTCTGTATGCCACACTGCACTCCGGGAACCACTGCAAGTTCATCACAAATGATCTGATGCGGGACCACAAGGCCTGTCTGCCTGATGCCAGGACCCAACACCTGTTCTTTAAGTGGCAGCAGGCACATCAGCTGGCAATTACTAGTAGGCATCCAGGATCAAAAATAATTTTTCAGGTATGTTATCTGTTGTCTCCATAACATCAGCAGAGTCAGGTATCTTGTACAAATGTGGCAGAGTCATAGAAGGTTTCAGCTAGTCCTGTGTGCTTTATTTTTCTCAGTTTTAGTTTGGTATTTGAAATCGGCCAGGTCTTAGAACCACAAAGTCCACCAGAGCAAAGTTTTCATGGGTCAACCCCACATTAACTGACATATTGGAAATGCCTGGGATGGCATCAGTTGCGACTTCTATTATGTCATCAGTTACAAACCCTCATATGTGGTTTTTTATTTTCCTATTTATTTGCAATAGCTCAAAATTCCTTATGCTTTATAGTTCATCATACTTGTGCTTCTGCTAAGTAACTCCTTTTTCCTATTTAATCCACTTCTACTGCGCAGTCTCAGTTGAACTCGATTCAAGTTTAAATACCTATAAGTACATGAATGCCTCTTGTGTGAAAGCAAAGGGAGGAAATCTAGAGACGAGTTACTACAGAAAAAGACACTAATCAATGGTAAATATGGTTGAGTGGTCAAAAAATATACGAAACAACACTTATAGGAAATATAGTACAAATGATACGACAGAGATGCCATCAGCAAAACCAGCTGTGCGAACAATACAGGACAACTGACCTGGTTTCCTCCACAACAAAAAAAATTGCAAGAAAATATGGATGGAAAGGGAAGCTCTAGATTAAAACAGAATTGAGAGATCATTCAGCCCGTCACAATGCAATAATCTTTTTTCAATTTCTATTCAAACAAACTGCCAAATGTAGCTACACACATACAATCATTGGGAAAATGTAAACAGAAATTTGATGATAAGGAACTATTGATTTTTAGTATTATAATGGTATCGCTCTTATACTTACAAAACAAGTCCTTATCTTTCAGAAACATACTGAATTACAGAAGAAATGCTATAATATCAGAGATTTATTTGAAAATAGTATGGGGGGGATCAAAATAATCTGGGAGGAGGGAGTGGGTACGGATGAATGAAATAAGATTAGCCATGAGTTGATAATGATTGAAGCCAGGTGATGGGTATGTGGGAGATCATTGTGCTGTTTCTCTATCTTTGTATATTTGACAGTTTTTTCTGTCACAACCAAAACCAATAAAGGCAACAAAAGGAATATGTGTATATATGTGTGTGTGTTGGTGTGTGTGTTCCTGTAGAGAGTTCTTAACCTTAAAAATGAAACCTCCCCAAAAAGGAGCTCCTCATAGTAGGATTCCTCTTCACAGAGCTAGCTGCTCTTTAAAACCCCCCCTTTTTTTTTTTTAACCGGGGTCCTGGGGATTGAACTCAGGACCTCGTGCATACTAAGCATGTACTCTACAACTGAGCTGTACCTTCCCCCTGCAAATCCATTGTTAAATAAGACAGAGAATACATCTCTGGAACAAACTGAGATGTTGTCAGGGAAGAAAGGGAAATGGCCAGGTATTCCTTTAGAGTTGTTCTAAGTGTGTGGTTCCCTTTTTAATTCAACAGCATATTCTCAACTATGACACAGTGGTGCAAACAACTGGAGACTCATGGCACATACCATATGATGAAGAGCTGGTGGAAAGATATTCCTACGAAGTACCAACCAGATGGCTTTGCCTTCACCGAAAGACATAAAGACTCTTACTTCCATGCTAAAGTTGTGTTTGGGGGTGCCCTCCTGGTTGGCATTGGAGCTCTTAAGTTGATGGCTTGTTTAGAGCATTGCTTCTGTCCTGTCTGATGCAGTTTGTCCTCTTTGATCCAGTTGGTTTGTATATCAACAAATTTATTTTTAATTAAATGAGTTATAATATCGTCTCATAACCAGTTGCATTTTTTTTCTCCTAACATTTGTTTTTGGAGGCTGATCCGGAGTTGGGGAACTCAGTGCAGAGTGATCTGACCTTTCTCCTACTGAGCCAGCTGTTCCACTTACCTAGGCAGCAGGAGCTGCGGGCATCCATTTTGCTACTGCTGACCCACCTTCCAGGTCCACCACCAGCAGAACCAATCCGTCTGGCCCTGCGCCCTGGGTCATTTCTAAACCCTTCCTCCATTTCTGATAGCATCTCATCCTCTACATGTGATGTCCTACCCACACTGAATCACTTACGGTCCTCTGTGATGAATTGGCCAAGATACCAAAAGCTTGAGATAGGAGAGAATATGAAAAGAATCATAAAACTTCAGAGCAGCAGTGAACCTTAAAGAACGTAAAATCCAACTGTAGCCTTTTATAGAAGAAGAAAGACCGAGAAGGATGAACTGGCTCCTCTGGATCCCACAGCCAGTTAGTGGAGACATTTCAACCATAATGCAGCTCTCCTGATTCTCAGCCAAATAGTCTTCTACTGTGTTTAGGCTAGAGTCATTCATAAAAACGCAGACAAGCTGAATGGTAGAGCATCCAGTGTGTAGATTTAGAAACTTTGTTAGCCACATAGGAGAGGGGAGAGAGGGAGGAAGGGAACAAGGGAGGAGGACCTCCTTAAGGGCCACGGTCCCACAGTGGCCCGTCAGGGCAGAAAATCGTGGTAGGTAAGTTACATCATTTTTGAACTCTTTAATACCGCTCAAAAACAAAACCCTAATTTCTGCTTGAGGTAAATTGAGGTGCATCTGTCATTTGTCCAGGGGTAGGGGAATTCTAGGGCCACTCAGAGGCTCGGAGTCAGCGACACCCATGCGGGACACTGGAGGGTGCAGGGATTCTCTGAATGAAGCCAGCTGGGCCCCGACACTTGGGCTGCCTTTTGTATTCTGATCACCTGAGTGAAACAAAAGCTACCTGTCTAGCCAGGTCCAAGCCACAGTGGGAAGAAGGAATTCTTTAAAGAGCTGTGCCCTGGATTGAGAGTATCTTTAAAGCCAGCCAGCCATGAACAATGAAGGCTTTGAAAGGACACTGACTCTGCCACTGGAAAGTATTTCTGAAGTGCTTTGTGCTTCCCTCTGGCCTGCTCCTGAATTTATACTGTTTTCCTCCTGCTGTTCTCAGACCCGGTAAAGAGAAAATCTCGAAGGAGAAGCCTGAGTACATTCTCTCAGGGCTCCTCTGGGACTACCTCACCTCAGCTGCCTTGTTCTTCACATTAAATGAATTTTTCTCTTCAAGCTTGAACTTAAATATAATTACTGCTTCCTTGATCCTCTAGCAGGTTTCTCACTTTTAAAAAACTGTCCTAAGGTACTATAGGACAGTTGCATCCTGGTGAGTCTTATCTTCATTTGCTGAAAGTCAAAAGTATCAGGATAGTTGAGGGCAAAAGCTTAAGTGGAGTCTAGATCTGGTACTTTGCCCATCCTTCAGCAACTCGGAATTTCTAGAGTGAAAAACATCTAAGGGAACCCTTGAGGGAATGCCCGGGAGTAGAGGAACATAGATCGCTGTGATGAAAAAGTGGGATTTAGATTTGGGACTTAGGCAGCTAAGTTCTTAGGAGGTGAGACCAGGCAGCTTCTGGAGCCTCCTGTAACCCAGAGGGTGAGAGTAGGATCGCTGGATAAAATGCAGGATTCCCAGTTAAATCTGAATTTCAAATTAATGGGTAAGTGACTTTTTAGTATAAATGTGTCCCAAGCACTGCAAGGACGTATTTATACTAAAAATATTCATTGTCTATCTGAAATTCACCTTTAACAGGGCATCTTGTGTTTTCATTTGCTACAGCTGGCAACCCTAGGTGGGAATTATATGGGAGGAAGAGGAGTAGTGGGAAATGAGGCATCTACAAAGCTCACAGCCCTACCGGAGGCAGGAGTGGAACAGGGACCAGAAAGGAAGTGAGTAAAAGGCGCCTGGGAACGGGCAAAAAGGAGAGAAGACCAACTTTTCCCTGCCTTGTCCCAGCCAGGGACCAGCAGTTGGCTTGAGCCTACACTGTATAAACGAAGGAAGTTCCATTCAGAGGAAGCCATAGAAACAAGGGGGATGAAAGAAAATACAAGTTACGGGAACAGTAATGAGTAAATGCAGTAAACCTTGAGAATCTTAAATTTTCTCTTAGCATGTCTATATCATGGCATTTCAAGATTCCCTGAAGACTTCTCTTCCCAAGTTTGTTCTTTGTTGGTAATAGTTGACCTGACGGGTGCTTCCAGAGACTGTATGTACACAACTCACTCTCAACTGGGAATTGAAATAAACAGGAAGACAATTATCTTGTCACTGATAACAGCTAAAAATAGTCTGTTTTGCTATCAGAGTACTTTCAGAAGTACACTCTTATCAAATGGATTAAGTTATTAAAATAACCATGATCATTTTTTTTTAGTATTTGAAAAAATTTTTTAACGTTTTTTATTGAGTTATAGTCATTTTACAATGTTGTGTCTAATTCCAGTGTAGAGCACAATTTTTCAGTTATACATGAACATACATATATTCATTGTCACTTTTTTTTTTGCTGTGAGCTACCACAAGATCTTGTATATATTTCCCTGTGCTATACAGTATAATCTTGTTTATCTGTTCTACATTTTGAAATCCCAGTCTGTCCCTTCCCACCTCCCACCCCCTTGGCAACCACAAGTTTGTATTCTATATCTATGAGTCTGTGTTTTGTATTTATGTTTTTGTTTGTGTGTGTGTGTGTGTTGTTTTAGATTCCACATATGAGCGATCTCATATGGTATTTTTCTCTTTCTGGCTTACTTCGAATGACATTCTCCAGAAGCATCCATGTTGCTGCAAATGGTGTTACGTTTTTGGGTTTTATGGCTGAATAGTATTCTGTTGTATAAATATACCACTCTTCTTTATCCAGTCATCTGTTGATGGACATTTAGGCAGTTTCCATGTCTTGGCTTAAAATAACCATGATCATTTTAAATAGCAGTGTCATATTAAGGGTTTTTGGTAGCTTCTGACAAGAAAGTTGATGTAGAGTTCATTTCAGCCACATTAAAATGATTACTTCATTAGTCTCTTTGAAGTTAGTTAACATCCAGCCCAAAAAGCAAATATTGAGTAATCACAATTTCTAATATGGTAGAGACATAAATTCATTTTCAAGAGACCAGTTCGGGTCACACTATCACTCTCAGCTGGACTAGAACATCCCTAACTATCAAGTTTATTTCACCTCTAACTGTTGCAATTCCATTACTGAAGCGGGTTTCTTGTGCTTTCTGTGACTGCATCAGAACTTAGAATGTCAGTGTCCAGAATTCCCTGAGTCCTGCTCTCCGGGCCAGAGTGGCATCCCGGCCTGGGAGAAGAGTATGGGGCCTCCCCCTCCATGAAACAGGTTCCTTTGGAAGTGGTGATGGCAAGTCGTCCGAAACGTAAGTCCTTCACCCAGGCTCATTGCTTAAGATGTACTGTTTTCCTAATTCTTTCCAAATAAATCATTCTTGTGTTTTCTCCCTCTTTTTGGTGACCTTGTCCTAGAATCCAAAGCTGCATTTTTTTCTATCCTCTGTGCCAAAGCTGAGCAGTGTAGTGCTATTAAGTTTTTACACATAAATATGCCTATTCCATACGTAACACGTTATATGTTTTTAAATGGATCATTTTCTATAAACTTTTTTGTAATTTTTTTCCACCTGACAGAAAATGAAAACTCATTCTCTTAGTATTCTACCGCTTCATCCTTATGTACTCCAAACATCATAAAATAAATTTGTAAAACGAGGTACAGCTGTCTACCAGAAAATACTATTCACATAGTCATATACTCACAGACTACTTCTCAGGGTTTCCTAGTGTTTGGAACAAAATTTGTGTTCCAGGAAGCTGTCACCCTGATGACGGCCACTGGCTCAAATTAAGGATTGTGTCCTTTGGCTCTTAGCCCTGTCCTGGCAGTCGTCAAATCCGTGAAGACATGGGTCTTTTCCAAGTTAGGCCCTCTGATCTCCAACTCCTAAAGAAATAAACTCTGGTCAGACCAAGTATTTGAAGGGAAAGTCTGAGAAAGTTTTGCCACTTTACACAGATAGCTTTTTATTTTTTAAAGTAAATGATGGGACTTTTTTTGTTCTTTGAGACACTGAGGGAGGGTTATGTGAGGAGAGCAGTGCTGGACAGTTTGTGCTTCATAAATGTCAGTTGATTTTTTACCTCCTGCTCCCACTGCCCTTATCCCTGGAGATTTCAACACCACTCATATTCTTGTTTCATTGTTTCTTAACCAAATAAACTCTGATGATTTGCCCCCTGTGAGATGCCAACCTGCCTCTTTTCAACTGCTTTAAATTGCTTAAGTTACAGAATTTCACACTTTGTGTCTGCATTTTGATCACAAACCCCCTACCTGCCCACTCCTTCATCCCAACCTCCAGTTCCTAGACCTGCTTCTTCTGCCTATTCCTTCCTCACCTAGGGGCCTCTGTCATCTATCCCCGTCTGGCTTCACTTGCCTTCTTCCTACCCTACTTTTTTTTTTTTTTTATTGAAGTATAGTCAGTTACAATGTTGTGTCAATTTCTGGTGTACCGCATAATGCTTCAGTCACACGTGAACATACCCATACTTGTTTTCATAGTTTTCATATCCTTTTTCATTATAGGTTACTATAAGATATTGAATATATTTCCCTGTGCTATACAGTATAAACTTTTTTATCTATTTTATATACAGTACTTTGTATCTGCAAATCTTGAACTCTCAATTTATCTTCCCACCCAGTAACCATAAGATTCTTTACTATGTTTGTGAGTCTGTTTCTGCTTTGTAGATAAGTTCATTAGTGTCTTCTTTTTCTTTTTTTAGATTCCACATATGAGTGATATCATATGGTATTTTTCTTTCTCTTTCTGGCTTACTTCACTTTGAATGGCATCCCCAGGTCCATCCGTGTTGCCGCAAATGGCATTATTTT